TCTGTTTCACCAAGGCCAACCTTTAGCTTTCCTCAATTCTCACGCCTCCCTTTGACGCTAAACGAGATAACAGCAGATAGATAGAAGTGCCCCTGACTTTACAGCTGAAGAAAAGTCATTAACTGGTTTCATTTTGAAACACTGACACACATCAGTGAGCAAAAGGGATGAGGGAATTTGAACTATCAATTTCTAGCCCTAGCATCATCATATTTCAAAGAATCAAGATTTAAATAAATTATATGGAGATCATGTGCATAATGTCAATAGAACATAACAGAAAACTAACAAGTTCCTGAAATCTTCTCATTACTAAATTATGCACTGTCTTCTTGAAACATACTACATTCAGGAACAGAGACTGGTTTGCAATAAAGTCCAGTTTCCCGTTCTGAAAAGGCATAATATATGTCAGCTGATTACACAGAAGTCAATTATCACTGAAGGCAGAACATTTTTAATTTCTTGTCACTACAAACATAATCTTATTACTACTAATACAGGACTATTAACATTATGAAGTTTAAGAAAAAAACCTGTAAAGACATGGACAGAGTAAGGAGGCCTGAATTTATCTGCTGTCTCATGTAAACAGTTTTAATTTAGTTCATTCTTGTGTATTAACTACCACAGACAGAATAGTTTTGAATGGGTTCTTACCTCACTGATATTTGAATCAGTTATTTGCCCTTGCCTACTCATTAATTTAATCAGTTTATCCTTTATGTTGGGTGGCAATGACTTAATATCTGCAGCATATCTGGAAAGGTGCTTTGTCAAACACTGAAGGCATCTGAAATAAAGGAAAGTTACAGTACAGTCAAAAATAGGCATTACATATTAGAACTAGAACATTCAAACCACAAGATGTCATTTTCTGCATCCAGCTATGCTGCCTTCAAACCTTATCAGTTCCGGCTGTTCCATACTACCACCAATTCAGTTATTGCCCTTTGGGGTCAATCAGCTGATCCTTCTGTGCAAGTGTTCCCCAATCAACTGTAGGCAAAAATTGTAGCCTCGTTCACTTCGATCACCAACTCAGCTCACAAAATGAGTTTGCTGGTAGTACATTCACGAGCTCTAAGAAAAGCCTTTTCACCATCTAAGCCTCCACTCAGTAAGCAGTAAAATCTTTAGCTGGGACAGCTAGTTCCAGAGAAGGGACACCTCTCTTTCACCTTAACATTAAGGAGATATTTTCAGATGTGGTATTTTGTTCACTGTCTAGTTTGTAGTACTCTTTTAATATGAATTGTGCTGTGTAACCCTGTGCTCAACCTTTTAAACCTTGTGCTTAAAACTAGATCTAATCACAGAGGATTGTCACCTGAGGCAGAAATTTTTCTGTCTTAGTTCGTGGTCCTACAAAGTAGATTAGACAAGATAACTAGTGGCCACATGGAGAATATCATATATAGGGGAAAGTGAACCCATGTGGATATTTACAAGGTATTCAAAAAGCCTCATCAGCAATGGTTCTTCAAGAAATTAAGCTGCTCTGGGATGAGAAGGAAGGTTCTCACACAGCTGGTTGAAATCCTATCACAATCAGAAACATTGATTGGTTTGACTCAGTATAGCCATTGTTTTTTTTTTAATAGCAGTAATTTAGGTCTCCTTCCCCTCACCCCCCCCACATGCTTATTCATCAGAATGATTTATCAACCTGAAGGAAACAGCCTGATTATCATATACACCGGGCTAGAGATTTTGAACTAACAATAATGCCAACATACACTGTCTTTTCTATACATCCTGCTGTCTGGACATCTTTTGTATTCAGGGTCAAAATTGTTTCCCTGTTCCAAGCAATCTGTTCCCTTTGCCAGATACTGAAACTTGACTTAAAGTTTTCATCATGAGATACTGTTGCATGAGAAATTGCAAACAAATCTCAAAGACACACAGGGCTTAAGCATTCATCTGAAAAGGAAGGACTAGGCAGAAATAAATATTGATAGGCCTACTAATATCACAGAATGGTGGGTGACGCTTTAAGACGGGATTTGAGATCCTAGAACTTTATCTGTGTGAATGCAACAATAAGGGATCATTTCAGTAAGAATACGTTGTTAAGAGACTCCAGATGCAACACAGCTTTTTGGGAGAAAACACGAAGAACTTTTCTTAAGCAAAATAAAACAGAGAGATCAGTATTATGCAGACATGTGTGGAACAGTACCCGGGTGGAACACCTGAAATAATGGTTTTCAAGGTCAAATATACAGAAGAGTATTTACTTATGCAATATTGAGTACTATAGAGGGACACTAATCATGCAATCCTACTTTTTTAAGATTCCTAAGGCATTTTAATGTATTGTAGGATACAGAAAATGTTAATGTCCCAACCTCTGCAACTTTAAATTATAATCACAGGCTTACTGAAACACCAGAGGCAACTCCGGGAAGAGTTTATGAATAGCTTCTAAGCATCCTGAGCATGCTGACCTTCAGAGCACTCGCTAATATGGTAGAAGACAACTGCTGGTCCTTAAGGAAGGAACTGCAACTCTCTGAAGGGAGATTTTATTATCAAGAACCGAAGTCCCTAGGTAAACGAGGAACATAAACTAGAGTGAAGCTAACCAACATCCAGAGATAACTGAAAAGGTAACACTGTCGTCTAGGAAATGCCAAGACTTTAAAAAGGATTACACTACAGCAAAACTAAAATGGAGGGAGTTGTAATGGGGGAGGAAGGGTAACTCCTCACTGTCCCCCTCTTGCTTAGAAACCTAACATGAGTCCGTATAAGTGATGGAGTTCTTTGAATTGGAGGTTCTATTATCTATTGATCATAGCTACCTAAATTAGATTCCCTAGGCCAACTCTTCTTTTTAAATCCTATCCTAAATTTTGAAAGAAAACATTACTGTCCTACAAAACATTTTGCTTTTGTAGAATGAACATTTTTCCATTAACTCACCCTACCAGTAAACTCAGAGCAGCTACTGTAATTGTGCAGTAACTCTCTCTACTGTAGTTGGCCTCTATACTTTTATGTGATCTGGATACACACAGCAATAACTAAGATTGGTAAGTAAAGAGTATAATGCATTCACCTGGCAGGCAGATTTTGTCCCAGTCTAACTTAATGAAAGAAGCCATGAATCCTGTTTTTCATGGACAGGGAAAACTGAGTAGTGCTTTACTCCTGTAGTGATCTGATAAAAGACCATTCCTTCTTGCAAAACCCCCAATTGTTTTTTCCCTGCTCCACATTATCAGACTTGTTACACCAGGTGTTTATAGTTCAGAGTTGTCTTCAAAGTGTCAAATGGCACACTCATTTGTTCCAAATGAGTCAAGGGGTGCAGAACAGAAAAGCCTATCATCTTTAACCTTAAGCTTTATGACAGGGTGAAGGCCTTATGACAGGGCAAATGTGTATATTTCCAATACATAAAACAGAAATTAGATCTTTATGACTAATTTTTCTACAAATAGTCTAACTTACATCAAGGCGCAGCTTATACTAAGTTATGTCACATGGAATAGAATAGCAGAACAGATGTTAGAAGTAGGACACATCAGAAGAAATGAACCAGAAGAACAGATACTAAAATAGGTTTAATGGCAAATAACAAAATAGATACATCTTCCTGCATTCTTTAGGGTTGGATAATTTATAAAGTAACACCATGAAAGGAAGCTCTGTTTTGAAACTGATGCTCTACTTCTCAGTTTTTGTTCATGCAGATGTACCCATCTGCAAATGTTCTGATGCCTTTGTAAGACCTTAGTTTTCCAAGACACTGACAGGTCAGGTAATGCATTAGTCTGCAATAGGCTGGCCACCTGTTAATGATACCTGTTACACAGGAGCTATCTATCAACGACACATGGAACAATCAAACCTAAGCAATTCCTAACTACATACTCTTGTGACGACTTACATGTGCAGCACACTTCTTTATTGTGTAGTGACAATCTTAATTAAAACACCTTTACATTTGATGTTTCATTTGTACTGCTCTAAGAGTCTCATTTTTGATGGCAGAAACTCTCTTGGTCCTGAGCTTATGTCTGGTCATTAACAAGTCAGCTTAAAACACCTGCCAGGGCTCTGAGAGATTTGTAACAGCAGCCTCCTACAAGTATGACAGCTAAAGCCATTATCTGCCCCAGCTGCCTTCTCCACCTCTCCAGCAAGTGTTGTTACTGCCAGGCATCCACACTATTTGGCAGGCCCTGCAACTCCTACACTATCAGTTTTCAACCAAGCATAATTATGCAAACCAACTACAAATTTGGTGTACCTCAATATGCTGGCCTTAAAACTGCATCAGCTAAGAGTGCATGTGTAAGTTGATCATTTCTCATCCTGGGAACAATAACTTCAGGAAACAGAAGCTAATATAAGATATAACTTGAGAAAAAAAAAAAGAAAAAAGAATTTTTCTAAATATTTCTAGTATGATGCTCTTGTGCATGTGACCTTTGGAGTGCTAATTTCTCTTTCGGGGCATGGGGCAAAGGCCAACAAGCGGCAGACAAGCAGCAGAAACACCTTAATGAACACTTTCTGTTAGGTTTGGAGATCTTAAAAATAATTACTTTATTAGAAGGACTACTCCACACACTAACAGATTTGTTTCAGTTTTTAGTTTCTGCTGTAAGTTCTGCTAGTTAAACAATAAGCCTAAGGGTTAGTATAAGTAAGAAGCCTGAAGTGCAGCCTGGCATAAATAGATGGCCATCACCTGCTTGGTGTAAGACAAGAAACAATACACTAAAATTACACACATTTGTTAAGAAGTTGTGTAATTATTAGTTTCAAGTATTAATCTTACTGGTATAATAATTATAGTGTAATATTAATACAGAAAATCGCTGCAGCAGTACTAATAAAGTAGTGTAAAAAAGATTAGTAACCAATCAAAAGTAGAAATTGTTTATGGTATCAAGCGCTACAGTACACATAGCTGAGAAATTACTAGGTCTGAGATTCAAGGTTAACCACAAGAACATAAGAATGTAGTGTAATGCATGCCTTAAACATCATTTTAACAGATTAATCATGCACAACAAAAAACGTATGGGTACTGTTTTAGCTTTGCAAAAAGAGAAAAGTTATTAGCAAGACAGAACCCTTGTAGTTAATTTCTATTAGCAGTCCAGCTGTCATTACACACCACTCTAACCAAATGTAAAGTCCAAACAGAGGTTGAAAAGGCTAGTTCCACTCCCTCTTGTCTCCCCAACCACTTTTTACTGCGCCTTCCTCATGCTGGCTCCGAAATTCACAGTTGCACAGTGAGCTGTTCGGCATCTAATCTGAGCGAAAATTCCCGTGACTAAAACTGTGAGGTCACAAAAATAATACTGCCAAAACAAGTGGCTGAGGGCAAGGGGCAGCAGCAACCTAGAGTTAAGCCAAATTAGATTTAGCGTATAGCCACAGCTCTGGAGTCCCTGTAGAAAACTTTTTTTCAGCAGAATCTAGTCTGGCACCAGAATGCCACCAAATCACAGCAAATTAAAACTCATACCGATTAAAAACTCCAGAGAAGTTAAAATATTAAGGCTCTATAAATCTGAAGTGCAGCACAGATTTAAGCAAGGAAAGAAGCAAGACTTTCAGTGTGGAAGCACACTAAAAAAAACACTAAAGTTAGCACAGCGTAATAAGGGCATCTGTAGCAAGTCACTGCAGAAGACACTGTAATGAGGAAACAGTGATTTCAAGGAGAATCCGGGCAGAGTTTAACCACAGGCCTTGGTTGCAGAGACCCGTATGTCAGCATGAGTGACCACTGCGTAACCTGAGCACACACCGTGATCACCTTTAACTCGTTCCTCTGGAGATGTGTAAGAATGCAATGTTTTCACCGTACCTCGGTGAATGCTGGATGAACTTGGCTGTCTGACTGTAACAGAGAAGCCTGTACACGGCTGTGACTCAGTACATGTACAAGTAGATTACACCATCCGCATTCTTTGTCTTGTCTCGAGATTAAAAAGCAGATCTACATGTAACATTCCTTTACTTGACTGCAGAAATGAAGAATAGTTATTTACTTCTAAAAAAGTCTTATCAAAGCTCTAAAGACCACAATGAGTGTGAACCTCACCACAGATGGGATCTGTGCAACATGCTGATCAATGTGAAGGGGCTTGCCTAATGCTGCAATAGCTGGGGTCCTCAGCACGGGAAGGGACATAAGATTGCTATCACGTTTTCTACTACTATTATTCTTTCTGCAGTAAACCAGTTAACTAGCCTTGAGAGCCCATGCCTTTCTTACTGAGATCCCAAATGAACCAGCACCTCCTTGGTGCAAAACAGCACCCTACCTTTGGCTAGGGTGAGTCAAAGAGACTTTCGGAGCCTTTTGGGGGGCTACGTGTGCACCTACCATGTGGCTGTTCCCTCTTCTATGATGGATACCTATTGAGTCATGTGAATGGCCAAGCAGTCCTTTGTCATACAAGGGCACACACTTCAGTTACGTGCTAAACACATGTTTATCATATGACCCCTATATTTTGTCCACTGGGTAAATGAACTTTTCTGGCAATTCATCCTGAAGGAGGCAGATTGTCACCATATACTGTAGTACATAAAAACAGTTGTATCTAAAATCTTAACACAAACTTAAGATTAATTTTTTTCTCTTGAAGATACTAAGTGGCTAATGCAGCCATACTTGAATAGGGACCTGCAAATCTAGACCAACTACTTAGTTCAAATTTGCAGAAAATACTCCGAAACCAATGCAGATACATGGAAATCAATGTGAGCTATGCCAAATCTTCTAGTTACATTTAACTGTCTCTTGCCACAGAATTTTAAATTTAGCTTGAGAGAAAAGCTTACTAAGATTAATCTCATTCTTTTCAAAAAGCTGGTTGATATTCTCAGAGTACATTACTGATCTGCAGTAATTTAAATTCATTTATATTATAAATGTTTTCACTGTTATTGTACTTTATAGGAAACAATAAAACACTTATTGGCTACACCAGGGCAACTATAATCTTATCTTCAGTGCTTTAAAAGAAGAATAGAAATCTAAGACTAACTGTATTGTTTGTAGCTATTTTTCTTTTATCTGTCAAATCAAATATTTTATCCCTATGCTGTCTCTAACTCCCTCCTAAACACAAAAGAATTTGACATAATGAAAACCTCAAAGCAAAACACCATTCAATGGATTCACTGGGGTCAGATGAAGCCAGGGATCCTCAACGATCCCTCCACAACCAGATCTGTCGGGGATCATCCTGTTGTCTACCTGCCAAACCCGGCCACCCCCACCAAACTCTGTCAGTCCTGTCAAACCCTGCCACCTGACCTGTAACTCCTCCCAAACTGTGACCTCTGCCAAACCCTGTCACCCACCCTGCCAGACCCTGTCACCCAGACTGTCACCCCATCAAACCCACACCTACCCTGCCACCACTATCAAACTCTGTCAACTACCCTGCCACCACTACCAAACGCTGTCACTCACTCTGCCATCCACGCCAAAGGCCTGCCAAACCCTGTCCCCTGGCCAAATCCGTCCTCCGGGCTCCCCCACAGGAGCGCCCCGCGGGTTGCCTCGGTGACTGCGTTTACTCGAGGCCGCGGCCCCCCTGTAAGGGCAGCGGTCTGACCCGGCCGGCCGGCCCTGAACCCACCGGACTTCCCGGAGGGAAAGGGGGCCAGCGGGCACAGAGGGAGGGTGTCGGGGCGGCACTCACAGGTCCAGGAGGAGCTGGACTTCCT